CCCCCGAATTTCACACGCGTCCAAAGCCAATTGAGCACCGGAAATTGGGGTCACAAAAGTCTTTCCCGATCGACGCCGGTTGGATCGCTCGGATGCAAGATTGCCGCCTCTCTCTATCTCGAACCGCCTGTCCTGCAGTGAGCGCGCGGATGCCGTCGGAAGACACCTCAGCTTTGAGCGGGCTCGTTCGATCTCGATGTCGTAAGCCAAACACACCCCCCTCCAAGGATGTGTGCGTGGGTTGGTGGCAGCGTGAAACCAAACACCCCGATCCTTCCAGGCCAGCTGTTGTATGAGGCGACTGACTGGCTCCCGTCGGTACGATACCGCTGACAGTGCGTGCTAGCGTCCGTGTCACGCAGCGCATCAAACCTCGGCGTCCTTCTAGCCGCATACCGGGCGTACCGCACCTCCGGATGATCTCATGCAAAGCCACACCACACTGTCGATCTTGCGTGCGCCGCGCTAAAATTTGCACCTACCGTAGCGCCTCGCTTGCATTCGACCGCCTCCCACTCGCTTGTCAGCACGCGCATGCATCTTCACTCAAACGATCACTTGGCCACACAGATCGCCGTTCCGATTCGAAATCTCGCTGCGAATGCCAAAATCCAAGGGGGCGAATACATCAGATAGCGCGACCTTTGCCTTTGGCCTGGCGTCGCGCCTGTGCCGAGTCCGATTCGGCCTCCACGCCGTCCACACCGTCCCCCGCGTCGACCTTCGCTGAACCGGAGTCCGCAGAGCCGTTGCCTGCACCGGCACCATCCGCACCATTGACGCCAGCACGGGACTGTGCAGCACCGGACTGCGCAGCACGTGCAGCTTGAATCGCTGCCATGAGCCGCTGGTCATCCATCTGCGCCGCGTCCACCTCCACTGCGCCATTGCTCGCCTTGGGCGGCGCCGCGGCCGCAGCGTCGGGCCTGGGTGCCGAAAACTTGGCCTGCACCTCGCGGTAGTGCTGCATCTCCTGCTCGCTCACCGACGGCGTCAGCTCGCGCAGCGCCAGCTCAAAGTCGCGCCGGTTCACGCGCACCTCGATCTCCTCGGCACTCGCCATCTCCGCCAGATAGTACTGCGCCGTGAGCGGGTGCGGGTGCGTCTTCTTGCCCGGCGTGCCGTTGATCGCCGCAATCCGCTCG